CGAGGGCATCAGCGGGCACCCCGGGGGTGCAGGGGACACCCAGGGGACACCCAGGGGTGTCCGGATGGGGAGCAGGGTGCAGGAGGTGCCTGGATGGGGAGCGGAGCCCTGGGGGGCAGGGGGTGCCAGGATGGGGTGCAGAGGGTGCCATATGGGGAGCAGGGTGCAGCGGGGTGCAAAGGGTGCCCGGATGGGGCAGGGTGCCCAAACAAGGTCACCGATGCAGGGGGTGCCAAGGGGTGCAGAGGGGCCCTGGGTAGGGAACAGGTCCCAGAAGTGCAGAGGGTGCCCAGGTGGGGAGCAGGGTCAGGGGGTGCAGAAGGTGCCTGGATAAGGAGCAGGGTGCAAGGTCAGGGGGAGCAGGGGGTGCCCGGATGGGGAGCAGGGTGCAGGGGCACAGAGGATGCCCGGATAGGGTGCAAGGGGGCCCAGATGGGGAGCAGGGTGCAGGGGCACAGAGGATGCCCGGATAGGGTGCAAGGGGGCCCAGATGGGGAGCAGGGTGCAGGGGCACAGAGGATGCCCGGATAGGGTGCAAGGGGGCCCAGATGGGGAGCAGGGTGCAGGGGCACAGAGGATGCCCGGATAGGGTGCAAGGGGGCCCAGATGGGGAGCAGGGTGCAGGGGCACAGAGGATGCCCGGATAGGGTGCAAGGGGGCCCAGATGGGGAGCAGGGTGCAGGGGCACAGAGGATGCCCGGATAGGGTGCAAGGGGGCCCAGATGGGGAGCAGGGTGCAGGGGCACAGAGGATGCCCGGATAGGGTGCAAGGGGGCCCAGATGGGGAGCAGGGTGCAGGGGCACAGAGGATGCCCGGATAGGGTGCAAGGGGGCCCAGATGGGGAGCAGGGTGCAGGGGCACAGAGGATGCCCGGATAGGGTGCAAGGGGGCCCAGATGGGGAGCAGGGTGCAGGGGCACAGAGGATGCCCGGATAGGGTGCAAGGGGGCCCAGATGGGGAGCAGGGTGCAGGGGCACAGAGGATGCCCGGATAGGGTGCAAGGGGGCCCAGATGGGGAGCAGGGTGCAGGGGCACAGAGGATGCCCGGATAGGGTGCAAGGGGGCCCAGATGGGGAGCAGGGTGCAGGGGCACAGAGGATGCCCGGATAGGGTGCAAGGGGGCCCAGATGGGGAGCAGGGTGCAGGGGCACAGAGGATGCCCGGATAGGGTGCAAGGGGGCCCAGATGGGGAGCAGGGTGCAGGGGCACAGAGGATGCCCGGATAGGGTGCAAGGGGGCCCAGATGGGGAGCAGGGTGCAGGGGCACAGAGGATGCCCGGATAGGGTGCAAGGGGGCCCAGATGGGGAGCAGGGTGCAGGGGCACAGAGGATGCCCGGATAGGGTGCAAGGGGGCCCAGATGGGGAGCAGGGTGCAGGGGCACAGAGGATGCCCGGATAGGGTGCAAGGGGGCCCAGATGGGGAGCAGGGTGCAGGGGCACAGAGGATGCCCGGATAGGGTGCAAGGGGGCCCAGATGGGGAGCAGGGTGCAGGGGCACAGAGGATGCCCGGATAGGGTGCAAGGGGGCCCAGATGGGGAGCAGGGTGCAGGGGCACAGAGGATGCCCGGATAGGGTGCAAGGGGGCCCAGATGGGGAGCAGGGTGCAGGGGCACAGAGGATGCCCGGATAGGGTGCAAGGGGGCCCAGATGGGGAGCAGGGTGCAGGGGCACAGAGGATGCCCGGATAGGGTGCAAGGGGGCCCAGATGGGGAGCAGGGTGCAGGGGCACAGAGGATGCCCGGATAGGGTGCAAGGGGGCCCAGATGGGGAGCAGGGTGCAGGGGCACAGAGGATGCCCGGATAGGGTGCAAGGGGGCCCAGATGGGGAGCAGGGTGCAGGGGCACAGAGGATGCCCGGATAGGGTGCAAGGGGGCCCAGATGGGGAGCAGGGTGCAGGGGCACAGAGGATGCCCGGATAGGGTGCAAGGGGGCCCAGATGGGGAGCAGGGTGCAGGGGCACAGAGGATGCCCGGATAGGGTGCAAGGGGGCCCAGATGGGGAGCAGGGTGCAGGGGTGCAGAGGGTGCCCAAGTGGGGAGCAGAGCCCTGGGGTGCAGAAGGTTCCTGGATGGGGAGCAGGGTGCAGGGGCACAGAGGATGCCCGGATAGGGTGCAAGGGGGTGCAAGGGGGCCCAGATGGGGAGCAGGGTGCAGGGGCACAGAGGATGCCCGGATAGGGTGCAAGGGGGCCCAGATGGGGAGCAGGGTGCAGGGGTGCAGAGGGTGCCCAAGTGGGGAGCAGAGCCCTGGGGTGCAGAAGGTTCCTGGATGGGGAGCAGGGTGCAGGGGCACAGAGGATGCCCGGATAGGGTGCAAGGGTGCCCCGATGGGGAGCAGGGGGTGCCCAGATGGGGAGCGGGGTGCAGGGTGAAGGGAGGGAGGTGCAGGGGTGCAGAGGCTGCCCAGATGGGAAGTGGGACCTTGGGGTGCAGAAGGTGCCCAGATCGGGAGCAGGGTGCAGGGTCAGGGGGTGCAGAGGGTGCCCAGATGGGGAGCGGAGCCCTGGGGTGCAGAAGCTGCAGGGGATGCCCACATGGGACACGGTGCCCGGAGCAGGTCCGTGCCCGCAGTTGCAGGGCTGCTTGTCCGGGGAGCAGGATGCAGGGGCTCCGGGAAGGGTGCCCGGATGGGCAGCAGGACCCCGGGGTGCAGGGGGTCCCCGTCACCTTCTCGGGGAAGCAGTCGTGGGCGGCGGGCAGGATGTGCGCGATGAAGGGGCTGTCCTTGATGTCCTCGTCGTCGCACACCACGTGCACCGCGTACTCGCCCGGCTCCGTGGGCCAGTAGCGCACGTCGCACGAGCCGTCGCCCTTGTCGTCGCACTCGATCTTGGCCTGCGACGGGCCCTCGATGGAGAAGCCTGTGACAAGGGGACGCGGCCGTCAGCGCCCAGCAAGGGGCTCCACGCGGGCCGTGTGTCCCCATCGTGGGCCGCATGATGGTGGCCCCTGTGGCCCCATCGTGGTGGCCCCTGGTTGGAGATCCAGATGGGTGGCCCCCAAGTTGAGCCCATGTCCCTGCCACGGGGTCCCCTGGGCTGTGGCCTTGTCCCCACCACTGCGTCCCCTGCTCCAAGCCCATGTCCCCACCATGGTGTCCCCCTGGTCCATGTCCATGTCCCCACCATGGTGTCCCCCTATCCATGCCCATGTCCTCAGCACAGTGCCTCCACCCCAAGCCCACGTCCCCACCATGGTGTCCCCCTGGTCCATGTGCATGTCCCCACCATGGTGTCCCCCTATCCATGCCCACGTCCTCAGCACAGTGCCTCCACCCCAAGCCCACGTCCCCACCATGGTGTCCCCCTGGTCCATGTCCATGTCCCCACCACTGTGTCCCCCTGGTCCGTGCCCACGTCCTCAGCACAGTGCCTCCAACCCAAGCCCACATCCCCACCATGGTGTCCGCCTGGTCCACGTCCACGTCCCCACCACGGTGTCCCCCCTATCCATGCCCATGTTCTCCACACGGTGCCCTCCAACCTGTGCCCACATCCCCATGACGCTGCCCTCCAACCCACGCCCGCGTACCCACCAGGCCACCAGCTGTCCCCGCGGGCGGCCCGCGCCGCCCGTGCTCACCCAGGGTGCCCACTTCGGTGCCGATGGCCTCCACCACGAAGTCGGCCGACTTGCCCACCATGCCCGTCTCCAGGCCGGGTCCCCAGGCCCGCACCTTCTGCGAGCCGGGCCCCGGTCCCACCTGCACCGCGAAGGGGCGGCGGCGGGCGAGAGCGACGGCTCGCACGCCTTGCACGCCCATGCACACCCAGGCACGCCCATGCACACTCTGCATGCCCTTGCACAGTCTGCACACCCATGCATCCCCTCTGCATGACCCTGAGCCCTCCGGCATGCATGTGCATGTGCCTTGCATGCCCCCTGTGCACCCATGCATGACTCTTGCACACCCCTTGCACACTCCTGCACACCTATACATGTCCCTTGCACACCCCACACACCTTTGCATGCCCCTTCACGTCCCTGCAGACCTGTGCGTGTCCTTGCATGTCCCTGCGTGCACCTTGCTCATCTCTGCATGTCCCTGCACGCCCCTTGCACACTCCTTCAGGCCTGTGGGTGTCCTTTGCACACCCATTGCACACCCGTTTCACGGTCATGCATGCCTCTTGCACACCTCTGCAAGTCTATGCATGTCCCTTGCATGCCCCTTGCATGCCCCTTGCACACACCTGCATGTGTCCCTTGCACACCCCAAACACCTTTGCATGTCCCTGCATGCACCCTGCTCATCTTTGCATGTCCCTGCACGCCCCTTGCACACTCCTTCAGGCCTGTGCGTGTCCTTTGCACACCCCCACATGCCTTTGCATGGCCCTGCACACCCTTGCACGCCCCCACACACCCATTGCATGACCGTGCATGCCTCTTGCACACTCCCCAGGCCTTTGCACGACTCTGCACCCCCCTTGCACACTCCCTGTGCCCTTGCACGCGCGCGGCTCACCTGCGGGGGATGGCGTAGCCGCCCCACGTGATGGTCACCACGTACTTGCCGGGCACCACGGGGTAGTACTCGCACTCGTAGACGCCGTCGCCCGCGTCCCGCACCTTCACGGGCTCCTCGGTGCCCTCTGCGCGGGGACACGTCAGGGCCACCGCGGCCACCGCGCCACCCGGCAGCCACGCGTGCACGTTTGCACTCCCCTGTGCTCTGCCATGCTGCAGGGAGCCCCTGCCATGCACATGCATGGGCATGGCTGCATGTGTGTGCATGACTGTGTGTGTTGCTGCATGCATGTGCATTGCTGCATGAGTGTGCATTGCTGCACGTATGTGCATTGACACACATGTGTGCATTGCTGCATGCATGTGCATTGCTGCATGTGTGTTCATTGATGCATGGGTGTGCATTGCTGCATGCATGTGCATTGCTGCATGTGTGTTCATTGCTGCATGTATGTGCATTGATGTACGTATGTGCATTGCTGCATGCATGTGCATTGCTGCACGTATGTGCATTGACGCAGGTATGTGCATTGCTGCATGTATGTGCATTGATGTACGTATGTGCATTGCTGCGTGCGTGTGCGTTGCTGCATGTATGTGCATTGGTGCACGTATGTGCATTGCTGCATGTATGTGCATTGATGCATGCGTGTGCATTACTGCATGTATGTGCATTTGTGCACGTGTGTGCATTGCTGCACGCGTGTGCATTGATGCACGCGTGTGCATTGCTGCGTGCATGTGCATTGACGTATGTGCATTGCTGCATGTATGTGCATTGGTGCATGTGTGTGTATTGCTGCACGTATGTGCACTGATGCACGTGTGTGCATTGCTGCATGCATGTGCATTGCTGCACGTATGTGCATTGGTGCACGGGTGTGCATTGCTGTGTGCATGTGCATTGCTGCATGCATGCACACCATCAAAAGCATGCGCAGTCGTGTGTGCAAACCCACGCACACTCTGCCCCCCAGGCCCTGCCATGCATATACCTGGCTGCACACATGCAACGCTGCACATATATGCATTGTTACATGCATGTGCATCGCTGCACACGTGTGCACTGCCACATTCATGTGCAAACGGCCACGCATGTCATCCCATGCATCCCCAACCCCACAGGGCCCTGCCACATTCACACACGGCTGCACACATGCACTGCTGCACGTGTGCATTGCTGCATGCACGTGCATCACGTCGCACTGCCACACGTGTGTGCAACAGCCGCGCGTGCCATCCTGCACACCTGCAGCCCCGCTGCACAGCCGACGTGCGGCTGTTGTTCCCCAGGAGGGGGCAGCACTACCCCGCGCACACCCGCACTCGTGTCCCCATGCACACCCGTGTGCACCCGTGCACACCCATAAATACCCGCGCACACGTCCCCAGGGTGTCACCACGTACACCCACGCACGCTCACATATAGCCGTGCACACCCGCACTCATGGCCCCAGGGTGTTCCCCGCATACAGCCGGGCACATCCACGCACACCCGCACACACGTCCCCACGGTGTCACCACGTACACCCACGCATGCTCACATATAGCCGTGCACGCCCATGCACACCCACACATGTCCCCAGGGTGTCCCCATGCACACCTGCACACACCCGCATACACCCGTGCACACCCATGCACACGTCCCCAGAGTGTCCCCCATGCACACCCGCTCACGTCCCCAGGGTGTCACCGCATACACCCATGCACACCCGTGCACACCCGCGCACGTATCCAGGGTGTCACCTGCACACACCCGCATACACCCATGCACACCTGCGCACATGTTCCCAGCGTGTCCCCCATGCGCACGTCCCCAGGGTGTCACCATATACATCCACACACCCATGCACACCCACGCACGTGTCCCCTGTGCCCACACACATGTCCCCGGGGTGTCCCCTGCACACACCCACACACACCCATGCACACCCACGCACGTGTCCCCTGTGCCCACACACATGTCCCCGGGGTGTCCCCTGCACACACCCACACACACCCATGCACATCCATGCACGTCCCCTGTGCCCACACGCATGTCCCCGGGGTGTCCCTGTGCACACCCGCACACACGTCCCCAGGGTGTCACCGCATACACCCACGCATGCATACATCCATGCACGCTCGCATACACCCCTGCACACCCGTGCACACATGTCCCCAGGGTGTCCACCTGCATACACCCATGCACACCCGCGCACGTGTCCCCGTGCACACCCGCACACGCGTCCCCGGGGTGTCCCCTGCACACACCCACACACACCCATGCACACCCGCACACATGTCCCCAGGGTGTCACCATGCACACCCGCACACATGTCCCCAGGGTGTTCCCGTGCACACCCGCACACACGTCCCCAGGGTGTCCCCGCGCGGCACTTACTGGGCCCCTTGACCAGCACGCGCAGCTCGCCGCTGCCCGCGCCCCTCGTGTGCACCTTGAAGTCGGCCACCTCCTTGACGCGGACGCCCTTGGGCTGCAGCCCCCGGCCCGTGGCCCGGCACGCCGACGGGTTGCACGCTGCGGCACGAGGGTCACCCGGCGGCCACCGCGGGGACGGGGCGCCCGGGGGACAGGGGAGCCATTGGGACACTCTAGGGGACAAGGGACCTGGGGATGCCCAAGGGATGGGGAGCCCGGGGGAGGGGGGAGCCTTGGGGACACTCTAGGGGACAAGGGACCTGGGGATGCCCAAGGGATGGGGAGCCCGGGGGACAGGGGAGCCATTGGGACACTCTAGGGGACAAGGGACCTGGGGATGCCCAAGGGATGGGGAGCCCGGGGGACATGCCAAAGGTATGGGGAGCTGTGGGGACACCGAGGTGACGGGGGTGCCGCAGGGACAAGGGGCCTGGGGCACCCAGGGGATGGGGGGTGCCGTGGGGACACCCAGGGGACAGGGAGTCTGGGGACACCCAGGGGACAGGGGTGTCATGGGGACACTCTGAGGGACAGGGAGTCTGGGGACACCCAAGGGACGGGGGTGCCGTGGGGACAAGGAACCTGGAGATGCCTGGGGAACAGGGGTGGCATGGGGACACGGATGGGGAGGCTGGGGACACTGGGGATGGGGAGCCTGGGGACACGCGGGGGGACAGGGATACCCTGGGGACATCCTGGGGACAGGGAGCCTGCGGGGACAGGGGTGCTGTGGGGGTACCTGGGGACAGGAGTGCCATAGGGCCACTCTGGGACTAGGAGGTGACACAGGAACACCCCAGGGACAGAGGGTGCCATGGGGACACCATAGGGCAAAGGGTGCCGCGGGGTTGCCCTGGGGACAGAGGGTGCCATAGGGACACCCTGGGGCTAGAAGGTGCCATAAAGACCACCCTGGGGACAGAGAGTGCCATGGGTCACCATAGGGCACCGTGGGGACCCTTCAGGGACAGAGGGAGCCATGGGGCCACCAGAGAACCATGGGGACCCATGGGGACACCCTGGGGACACCGCGGCCTCACCTTCCGCCACGTTGACGGTGAAGGGGCTCTTGGGGACCTGGGCGCCGGCGTAGGTGACGTAGACGGTGTGCGGCCCCTCGAGGACGGGCCGGTAGGTGCAGCGGTAGATGTTGTCCCCCTTGTCCTCCAGC